CAAATATTCAAACATTAAATACGAAGCGCATTACATTTCCGAGTGTTAAGATGTTGAACTAACATTCATTTAAATTAAATTAATTTATTTCTGAAAAAATAATTTAATTTAATTTAAATGAATGTTAGTTCAACATCTTAACACTCGGAAATGTAATGCGCTTCGTATTTAATGTTTGAATATTTGAGTTCCATTTCCAATCAGATTGAGAAATTTATTAATTAAAAAGATATCTTTTTTTACATTTAATTTTTTAATGTTAAATATGATATCAACAATTGATTATTAAGAACAAATGCCAGATATAAATAAATAGAATTTTCTTTTATTATTATTTTTATTTTCTGTTATATAACTTAATTTTAATTAAATGTCTTTACTTTACAATAAAATTTTGACCTTAATCTTGGGCAATAAGTGAGATAATTAACTTCTTCATTGATTGAGTAATATAATTCTATTTGTGTATTGATTTGTTGCAGGACATAATGATCCTCTTGCAAGTGGCTCTGCCGCCACTGTAACTTCCGGACCGGGTCAACAAAGTAATCCCGCAGGTGAGATTTCTTCTGGTGGCACGGTTAGAGGTGGCACACTGGACGTCCTCCTGTCAACTACTTATTGCCGTAGTCAAATGTACCTTTCACGTCAATTGGCTCAACTACATCCGGAACTCACGATGCCGATGTTTAGTGGTAAATGGACTTTCTTATGTTCTTATTAATTTATACATTTTTAAATCTGGACCATTATGTTAAAATTCAACATTAACGAGATTTTCAAGAGAATTATTATTTCATTTTTAAACATAAAGTTATATGTTTTTATATTTCTGAAATAATAGTTCTAACGCAACATGTGGTTGATTAAGAATACTGTATTTTGTAATTCTATAATTATATAATATTGCGACATTTATATTATTACGATATTGATGTAAATGTTAATTCAAGGGAGAAAATAGTGTAAAGCACAATTAACTTTTGTAGTTTATTGCACGGAATAGTTATAAATAACGTGATTTAAAATTATTTCCTTGATCTAATTAAACCTTTGATTAAAATATCGAAATATAATGTATGCAATTACTTTCGTTTAATATGTACGATAGTATATACTGTTTCGTACTGCAGTTTAATACAAAAGCTCATTTTAATACAATATAAAATATATTAATTGTCAGTTATTAAAAAAATTCCAAGCAGTTTTCTTCTCAAAGATTATACACACACGTTATTTCTGTGAAAAGTATAAGCGTGTTTATAATACATTTATATAATACTTTGAGAACTATAAGATTTTACGTTTAAAGAAACATTCAAGAAAAGCGTCTCTTTTACAAATAATAATTTTAAAATTATTTTCGTAATACGTAAAATTTTTTATTTACATTAGTAACATTAATAAATACGATTGAACTTTTTCTTCATTTAAGAATAATAATTATATTAATTAAACTGAAATTCGGTTCTTTCGATTTTTAAATTTACGTAGAACGTTTTCCGTGGTAAAAAATTGTTTTAATTTTTTCACAAGCTTGGACTCTTATGGAAGGAACGCGCGTTTCAATAGCTTCTATATTACTTTTACGTAAATAACATGACAGAGTTATATTAAAGGAAAGGAAATATTACAAAAGTATCGTTTCCTTTTTATTACTCACACGGAAGCATGTAATGTCGTGTGACATGAGTTATACGTGATATGAGAGTATATGTGGGATTTAACAGGATTATCGCAATTGTTCATACAAATAATTCATTATAATGTAATCGTGAAAGGATGCAAACTGTCAACAATTCTCATGTGTTTATGTTGTCATCAATTATACAGAGGCGTGTCGCTATCGTGTAAATATTCCGCGTCTGTTTTAACCAAACAAGTTTTTATCATTATAATTTAATATTGGAGAAATCTAAAAAGTCAAGCGACAAATAGTAGAATTTTTCTACCGATAAAATTGATCACACATATATATATTTACATACATGCATCTATTTGAATACATGGAATTTTAAATGCAGAAATATTAATTATCAGCACCGTGACTCAAATATAGAGAATATATCACATTTCAAGTGCAGGAATATTAATTATCAGCACCATATAACTCACACATACGTATTTTGAGATGGAAAAATAATCATTTGCAATGCGAAATTTCATTAAAGATGAGTATTTTTCTTATTTTATTCAGCTTATTTAGTGGTGCGATTGAAACTCAGTATGAAGCAGAATAATGTAATTAAAGAAAACTTCTTAAGAAAACTCGAGAAAATGAAGTTAGATTAAAAATTATGAAATTGAAGTTAATCCTTAAAGCTCTGGTTTAAATTAGTAATAAGAATAGTAACAAGATTTTAAATGTTCTTATACTAAATAAATATCACATTGTTCGCAGAATTTAACTTCTTAATCAAATCCAGGAATAATATAGTCTGACGGAAGGCTGACCATGATCTATCTGTTTAAGAATTTAACCTTTTAACTACAATAGCTACTGTTAATGAACCGCAAGACACGTATCAAGTTGTGGTTTCATTTACATACTGGATTGTTGATCTTCGTTTTAATTTTGTGACGTATATCAGTGTCATGGACCACTTCAAAGGGGCGTTCTTTAAAAAGAACGGAGGACGAGAGAAAAATTTAATTACGCAAACTACTATCTTTCCGGCTAACCGGCTTATATCCGTTTGTTTTGACGCACTCAAAACGACGAAAGGTTTACTTCTAGAAAGAGTATAACATAAAACTGCCATTTTATCTCATAAAATTTTCCTGTGTATAATATCACACTCAATAACAGCATCGAAAAAAAGAAAAAAAAATCTATTTTTCAAAATCGACTTTAATTCTATAGTTATATTCTATATACAAATAAAAAAAAAATTAATACGCAATTTGATTCGTATATTTTCTTTATATAACAAAGTAAAATGTCTAAAGTTTAAAATAAGAGGCTTCTATCAGATCATTATGATAAACGAGCTTTACAAGATGTAAACATTAATTCTTTATTATACTTTTTCTATCATTTCACAGAAAGTTTCGTCCATACTTGGACAGCATTTGCGATTCATTGTCTGTACGGTGAAGATCGTTCACATCGTTTATTAAAAAAACGCGATTTTAGTTGCAAAATTATGAAGTTAAGAAAGGAAGGATTAAGGTTGAATGGGATTTTGACTTATGCATTCCGTTTAATCGTTCTGTACCAAGAGGAAGTTACAGTTTATCTTGAACATACAACCATTTTATACTACTGGAATATTCTTACCACTATGACTGGACTGTTCCTGTGACCATTTTGATTATCCTTTCTCGTTGTTAACCGAAGAATTGATCTATATTTTATACACGTTTTAGAATTTGAGTATGACATGAATCATTAATGCATATTGTTGATTGTAGATGAGTTGATCCGATTAATACTTTTGCACACCGTCACCGAAATTAATTTATAAGTTTTAATATGTTTGTTTAATTATTATTAAAGGTTTTTATTTATTTTAAGACATGGCTGAAGAGGACCAAGTACGGTCGAAATATTCCTTGAAATGATAGAAAAAGTATAAGGTGTAGTAAAAAGAAATCTATTATTTTTGCATTAAATTGAAGGCTTTATTTAGCATAGTTAGAATGATCCGATTCTGGTCAAATATGCACCGTTTTGTTCGATAATTTGTTGCCATTTTGAAGGTAATTTCATTATGCCTCTCTCATAGAAACCTCGTCCCTATTGGCAAAAAACTGGGACAGTCAATTTTCACAAGCTTCTCTTGAGGCGAATTTTTCACCAGCAAAATTATTCGCCATAGACAGGAACAGGTGGTAATCACTTGGTGCCAGGTCCGGACTATAAA